TCGGCCTCGTTGAAATAAGATCCGCCCTCGGGCGTGGCGTGGCGGATCTGATCCATGAACACGTTGAAGCGTGCGTGGGCATCCCGTACCGCTTGCGCCGAGAGCCCTCGTAAATCGGTTCCTTCAAAGACGTCCGCGAACATAACTATATAATCCTAGAGTCAGCGAACGTCACCATCTTTCCTGCCTGCCTGCTAGCTTCCTGCGCATGAGCTATGGGACTTCAAGAGCCCAGATCTTGCCCGACCAAGCCCATACTGTTTTAAGGAGGGTCCCGGCCAGGACGGAAGAGGACCATGTCCTGAAATAAAAGGCGTGGGGAATGCCAACTTACCAGCTGTCCGGAATGCTGGGTTTACCGCACTGCTTTGTCCAGGGTATCCTGCTACACTGAGACCGGGTGCCATGCTAATGCCGTGAAATGTATATCCGGCCTCGATTGTGTTGCGTATGGCCTTCTGGGTGGCAATAAACCGGCTCGGCTCTTCAAAACTGACCCGCGGAAAGATACGGCTCGCGAATCGACCGCCATTGTCTGGCGTGTCGCCTACGCCGTGACTAGTATCTGCCCAATTCGAAGCTGGCATTACGTTCGGGGAGGGAACATCGAGTCCCAGCCCGGCGATGCGATCATATAAAGGTTGCACGAAAGCTACGATATCGGTAGCCAGCATTCCTGGCATTTCGATAGAGGCCGTGAATCTAGCTCCAGCCGGAGCAATGCCGTCAGCCTGGGGCGCAATGCGTGATACGGTGCTATACGCAGTCCCGCCGTGATCGACAATATCCAACCCGAACTGATGATAGGCATCCAGGGCTTCCCAAAATGATTCTGTAGAATTGGCCGGAGAGTTGCTGGACGGCCGGACCGAAAAGGTAAGCGGCGAGCCCAAAACAGAGGTTGGCGGGTGAGCCTTGACAATAGCTGATGTCACGATACCATATGTGCCTAGCCACGCACATGTTGCATTAGCTCTGGTCTCCTCCCGAGGGCTAGGTAAGCATGAGGCGGAAGAGGGAGGGGCCCCTGGCTTACGTACTTCCTCCCCCGCCGCGTAAGGCGAAGAACAGGTCGGTGTTCTGGTTTACGTCGGCGGTGACTACGCGTCCGTCTGCAGTGACGACGTTCAGCGATAACACCTGATCCGCCCCCATTCCATATGTTGACGCCAGTGCCGAGTGTCCTCCGCCCTGGAACCAGCCACCGTACGCGCCGACCGTGTAGCCGGCCGCGACAACAACCGTCATGTTGTGCCGTGCCATGTAGGAAAATAACTCCCAGCTCTCGAGCCCTGCGCCCACGTGAGCAGCCATGCCTTCGTATTCTCCAATATGATAGTTTGGCAGGAACTCAAAGTCCTTCAACCAATGCGTCCAGATGCTCAGCGCCCCGAACCCCGTAGATCGTCCCAAGAAGTCATGCCCCGTATTCCTACCACGACATCATCAACACCCATCCATCAAAGAACCTGAAGTCTGCCGGGGGCCCATTCTCCACTTACTTTATAGTTAGCCTTAGGTCCCTGTTCCTTGCAAAGTTGACGGCGGCTTGGATTTGCTTGACCGTCGTCACGTTAACCACATACGAGGGGAACCCGCCCTGCGTGCAGTTAAGCCCAGAAGTATTTGAAGCGGCATAGCATGTGTCTCCCTCCGGCCAGGTTGTGAAGACCGTCAATGGATCATCAATATAAAACCTTGAAGAACTCGCGCCACGTAGCAGGAAGCTGCATTGATCAGGGTCCATCTTAGGGCCGCGATAACAAGCAGCAGCAGGGGGGACGGGGTCAAGCAAAGCACGCTCGAGGGAGCGGTTCAGCCTCCCCCAATCCAGCTCGGAAGGCCACGCTCCCGTACCTGGATGTACTTTACACTCCGGCCCTTCGTACACAGGACTCGCCGTTGCTCTGTCTCCGAAGGCGATGGCGGAAAAGCGGCCGACGTCTTCGTCGCCGAGCAGGGTGGCCTCGTAGGCGAACTTGCTGGTGGCGTCGGCCCTTAAGAAGAGGGCCGATGAATATGCGATAATTAACAGGAGCATGTCTACGCCTTGGGGGAAGACACAGTCTGGATTCGATATGTGTCTGCTACAACTTTGAACGACCACGGGGCACCAAGGGGAGAGCCGGATTTAATATATACTAGGCCAATTTCATCGTAACCCGGCTTTCTTCTGACCAGGCGCGTCGCATTTCTCGCCACCCTCAAGATTGAAGCCGCAGCCACACCTCCGAATTCAGCTGCCCGGGGGGGGGGGGGGGGGGGGGGGGGGGGGGGGGGGGGCGGGGGGGGGTGGGGGGGGGGGGGGGGGGGGGGGGGGGGGGGGGGGGGGGGGGGGGGC